TATTTCATACTTGAATGCCAAAAACATTTTCAGTGATTATGCATCGTGATTAACTCAGTATACAAACAGTTAAAATTAATATTACGTCACACCTACCCTAGCCTCAGGTTTTATATTTAAATTAACTGATTTATTTTCGTGATGTTGTATAAAATAAATGATAATAGGTACTTAATAATTTAAAAATCATTACTGTACCTTATTAGTTGGTGAATTGACGGACATTTTATTAAACTAATTAAAATTTAACTAATTCCTCTCGTACCTACTAAACATTAAAGATTTTATCTCATGATATATATATATATATTTTTTTGTAAAACACTTTACACAATAAATTGAATGCTCATTTAAAACCCTTTTCTTCTTGAAATAATCAAATAATAAAAATAAACTAATTGAGTTCCACTTTTACCAAAAGTCTTTTGTGACGATTTCATACTATACATCTTAGGTATAATTTATTACCAGTTAATATGGAAATCCGTGTTAACATACCATGGATAAAATAATTATACAATAATATACTTATTGTTATTAAAATATAAATCAATGGTTGAGTTATTTAAGTGCGATATACGCGGTAGTCAAACCTAATAATATTACATCGATTTGACCATCGATTTGACCATCGATTTGACCATCGATTTGACCATCGACTTGATTGCAGGTTTCAGTAGAGCCGTCAAGTGGCCCAATAAAAATATATACTCTTGGTGATTGATGATTAATTTTTATCGGTTTGTCGAGGAGACGTTACGGTTTAATGCCGAATGTTGCGGTGCAGATATCATCCGATGTCAATATCCAATCGTCATCCGCCGCGCCACCTCGACGTAACAGCTGCTTTCCGTCTAACCGTCAATTAGACCGATTGAAATTGTCTCGAAGAACTATGCCAGTCCGATGTTTCGATATAACATTTCGTTGGCGAACGTAGCAGTAATGACGACTGCTGCAGTGGAAGTCAAGATCGATACGTCGTCCGGCTCAACGATGCAACAAGTTTCAACGGATCCTAATAAAGGCCCGACCGAAGTGGAARTGCGGGCGAGCCGCGATCTCGTGGGTCCGCTAAGGAGACGTTTTAGTTCAATGCCAGACATTGCGTTKCAATTTGGTGCATCGGAGGTCGAGTCCACCCCGATGCAGGTTTCAATCGAGCCTGTAATCTCGACAAATTTGAATATTCAAACGTAAAATAACAATTTTTTTTATTCTGTTGTAATTCAAACAATTGTTTATTTATTCGGAATAGAAAATTTTTATTTCAAAGAGTTAAACTGTGTATTTGCTTTATTTATTTACCAGTTTGCATCCTTGCACACATTAAAAARAAAAATACATTTTTTTCTGAAACAACGTTTTTATCTAATATATTACTAATAATTTTAAAATATATTATTACTGTAATACTAATAATATAAAAATATATCATAAAATATACTCAGTAATATAGGCTGACAGTCTGTCTAGTGTCTACCATCTCTCCTCAGAAACGTTTTAATCTACACATTCGTAAATATTTTATTTTATCTGTTCGTAGAAATTATCTGATATTAATAAGTATTGATATCAAATTACTAGCATTCTATAAATCTAAACTAGTTTAACTGTTACTACAGTAAGTATTTATTGAACTTAATACTCCGCGATTTTAGTGTGGTTAATGTTTGAGTGAACAATACGATAAAAAAATAAAGATAATATTTTTTGTGTTACGAAAGTACTTTAAAATCAACTGTTGCCTATGTATAGTGTACGGTGATTACGATATAAGCGAAATTTGTCGTAATTCGTACGGCTTTAAATTATACAAGCCGTAGAGGTATAACGTAATTTTTCATTTGTAGACTTAAATTTTGAATATATTATAATCAGGAACGAGTACAACGTGATGGACGGTGAAATTAAAATTGACTGCGAGTATGAATCAATCAAATATGGTCCAATGGCAACGCTGGCACAAGTAAACTTTTTTTTTACTAAACATATTTTTATCCAATTAAAACGTTAAAATCATACATTTTAGTCGTTAGTAACTATAGCACAGAGTTTTCTGTCAATCGGATTGGGTATTCAATTAGCAATACCAGCAATTGTTATTCGTCATTTGTATGGAATTAATAAAAGTGATTTCTCAATATCACTAACCGAGGCGTCTTGGTATGGTAAGTAAAATATATTGCGTAATTTTCGTTGTGAATTTTTGTAATTTAAATACATGGTTCCSTATGTTGTTATGGACTTGAGAGGTATAGCGTATTATATTATGTATATGCCACTGCCAAACGCTTTGGACGCAAATGCTAATCTATTTAAAATTAAAACTTAAATTTTGCAATAAATCTTATTGGAATAAAATTATCAGAACTATAATAATAGCAATATTTATTGAAATTAATATTTTTTGTGATTTTTATTATAAAGCAGTTACAAAAATAATGTTGTAAACCGTGTATTTTACTTTATAAATGATGATATAATTATATTGACTAAAAATGTTTATAGCATACACTATACACAGTAATACATTAATGGCGTTTTCCACCTAGTTGCACTATTGCACTAAGGACGCACTGAGTGCCATTTGCGTGTTCCATCTACCACTACGTGTTTGCATAATTCCAGTGTAATGTGTTCCATCTTGAAAAATGCACGAGTGTTTTACACTCGGTGCGGAACTGGCGCACGAGCTTTTTGAGCCGATTTTTGTTAACAGTTGTTATCACTACTGATAAAATATAAAAATTAAAACTTGAAATCGTTAATTTATCGTACATTCTACAATTCWACTAGTCATTGAGTTATAGGGGTAGGCGGTATACTGTATAGCACCTACTTTTTTTATAGAATTTAGAACAAAGAAAACCGAAAACCGAAAAAAACWGCCAACATAACTGAAAAACGAAAATATGATTTTCAATTTGCATAAAATAAAATTGTTATCAATAATTACGAGTGTACCAAGTAGTGGAAACTGCCACAGTGCGAGTTCGGGAAGGTGGAAAACGCTATAATTGTCATAATATACTATTATTTATTTATTGAATATTTATGTTATGTATTAAAGTGTATCAACCTTAGAAAAAGTATTTATATATATATATATATATCTCGTGTAATATTATATTGTGTTTTGTTATTTTATTTAAAATCGTAGGTAGTTTGTTATTTATAATCCACCCATTTGGATGTTTTCTATCGGGAGTCCTCCAAGACAGATTCGGAAAGAAGCGTTGCATGATATTTGCAAACGTTCCAAGTRTCGCCGGATGGATTTTGCTATACTTTGCTCACTCGTCTATTTTTCTYTGCACGTCGGCGCTTCTGATGGGATTCAGCATAGGCGTCGGCGCTGGTGCAGTACACGCCTACGTGGGGGAAATAACAGAACCAAGACTCAGAGGAACCATGGCTTCGATATTGAATACTACGGCATTGTTTGGATCGTTGTTAGGATTCATATTGGGTTCATTGTTTGAATGGCGTACTGTTGCACTTCTGAGTGCACTCTGTCCTGTAATTTGTATATTGTTAATCATTTTAGTACGTGAAATTTCATATTTCATATCTTCCAGTTTTCTCTTATGTTTCGATTAATAATTATGGTGTCTTATCATATTGCCTGTTTAGATCCCAGAGTCTCCCATTTGGCTAATCGGCAAAGGTAAAAATGATAAAGCCAAAGAGGCCATGTGTTGGCTGAGAGGATGGGTGGACGATGAAACAGTTAAACCCGAATTAGATACACTGTTCCATTATATTGAAGTATCTGGAACTTTTGGAACTGAAGGTAGCAATTTCAATGCAAAAGATGATGATGGTTTGCTGTCGAAATTAGCCCTATTGAAGGAACCTTCGGTTTACGAACCGTTGAAATTAATAATGTTTTATTTTTTCACGTCTTATATAATTAATCTAACTCCAGGCAAACCGTTCATTGGTAAAATAATGACAGAAATCGGTTTGTTGGATTACCAAAGTATATATTTGGTACAAATACTGCAAACAATAAGAGTATATACATATTTTGGATAAATCATTAAGAGAAATTTGTTTTTAGATWTATTTTTCTGTTGTGCAAACGATTGGGAGTGTGATCTTGATCTTAACTATACGCCGTTTCCGAAAAAGATTTTTGACATTAGTAACGGTATCAATAAACTCTGCTTTGTTGCTGTTATTAAGTGTATACATTGTCGCCATGAAAAGCAATTATATTGAATCGATGCAATGGATTCCTTTGACAATAATCGGTGGTATTTACCTATCTGGGGGTTGTGGTGTAGCATGCATACCCTGGATGTTAATTGGTGAAGTGTTCCCGAACAAGTAAATATAATTTATATGAACATATTTAATATATTTATCATGTTGTAAGTAAGTAGGTATACTGCAGTACATATCAAAATGGAATTTAACAGTCCACATTGTTGATAAGACACCTTTTTACATGTAACATAATCTTTTATACACATTATTTAAATTTTTTAGTTATTACTTAATAACTATACAAGTTAATTATTATATACATATTATACTATTTAATTTAAAATACGAGTATTAACCATCAATATTGTGCATATAGGAGTTTTTAAACTTTATATGGGAAGGGGGTCCTTAGATATAAAATTAAATTATAATTTTAGTACATATAAAATCATAAATAATACTATATTTACGATTTGGTAACAATATTGTGTCAATTTTAAAAAGTTGTGCTTAGCCGTTTAGGCAATTAATATGTGGTCACTGCTAGTATTTGTGTGTGTTGTAAACTTGACAATGAGTAGGTACTATTTTAAAAAGTCCTGTTTAAACGCATGAATAAGATAACTTTGC